TGTGTGTGGGGGGGGACAAGGAAGGTAAGCCTGGAGGCCCTGCTGGCCCTGTTTTCTGCCCAGAACTGGATGCGGAGTTCCACCTTCCCCATGCACCTTGACCTGGGTCCCACCTGCAAGGCTGCTGCATCTGTGTAGGGAGCAAAGCTGGGACACACCCCTCAGACCCCAAGGAGCCTGTGCTGGTGGTAGGAGAGGAGGGTAGGGTGAGGTTGACACAGGAGCTCTGCAGCCATCTGCATGGGAAATGACCACACCTGCATCTGTCCTGAATTCTCAAGGATGCACTAGCCCCCGGCTAACATGTTGACCCAGGGAACCAATTGTCCCCAGATGACAGGGGGCCAGCCAGAAGGGAAGGATGCAGGATGGCCCCTTATACCCCAGAGGGTCCCCAGCATTCCATGGGGCATCCCACCAAGACCCTGATGTATCTGTACCCCTGGCTTTCATGGGTCCTAGCCACAGGGTGCCTGCCTAGTGACACCCAGCAACATTTCATCCTCATCAGCATGGGCCATCTCCACGCCCAAGCATGGCTGCCCTGAGCTTGTGTGGCAGGGTGGCTCTGCTCATTACCTTACACTGGGTGATGGTTTCCTGCAGGTGTGCAAGTGGTCAAAGTCACAAAGTGGGATATGTTAAAATATTTACATTCTTTGAACACCAGTCACACTTCAGCAGAGGGGTGGCACCAAATTTAAGGAAGCACATGTGAGACTGAAAATGTCCCAGTCCTGAAATTCCCTTAGCATGCAAGTTCTACAGAGAATCAATGCGCTCTGGTGTCAGTTTCTTCCCTCCCACCTGCTCTTTGGCACTGAGCGCAGCGAGGATGTCCCCACAGCCCTGCCGTGAGGGCTCTCCATGAGAAGAGGATGCTCAATGGATGTTTTCTGGCCCTCACCTCTTTTGATTCTTGGTAACAGGCCAGAGTGTGGATAACCCTTCCTTCCTTCCTTCCTTCCTTCCTTCCTTTCTTTCTTTCTTTCTTTCTTTCTTTCTTTCTTTCTTTCTTTCTTTCCTTTTCTCTTTCTCCTTCCTGCCTCCTATGACATTTAAAACTGTCCCTCCTCCCACAATGCTATTAATTCTGGACACTTCTCACTGTCTTTGCTAAGGGGCCCTTACTTGGTAGAATTTCCTGCGACTTAGTTTTACATAAGTCTCTGATAGAGTCTTACTCTTCCACTTGACATTTTCATGTACGCCTACAGCAGAAAGAATCATTTCCAGCACAAACGTGCAGATTTTAAGAGTGATGGGGTCATGAAGGCTTCCAGCCAGATTTCAGAAGGCCTGGGCAGGCAGGCAATGTGCCCCTGAGAGGGCAGTGCAAGAAAACTCTGAGAGGGTGCTGAAAGTGCTGTGGAGATACAGGGAGCTAGAGAGGGCAGAAACGTGGAAGATCCACTGAGAAAGCTAAGGGCCAGTGAGTGAGGCCAACCCAAAGGAGAAGCCGGGGGACTTGCTGCAAGCAGTAGCCCAGGGATTGTGCTGCCCAAGTCATTGGAGTTCACCTTTCCCCACAACTTGCCTTCGTGCTGAACCCAGAGCTCCAAGATTTAATGCTTATTTTAAGCCAGGTGTGGTGGCACTCTCCAGCAATCACAGCACTCAGAGGCTGAGGCAGGGGAATCAGTGCAAGTTCAAGACCAGCCTGGGCTACACAGTGAGCTCAGGTCCAGCCTGGACTGCATAGCAAGACCCAGTCTCAAAAAGAAGAAAAAATAACTTCATTTGAGATTTCACCCCAGCACTTGGGAAGCTGAGGCAAGAGACCACTGCAAGTTAGAGGCCAGGCTGGCCTACAAAGTGAGTTCAAGTCTGGTCTTAACTACATGGTGAGGCCCTGTCTAAAGACAGAGAGAGAGAGAGAGAGAGAGAGAGAGAGAGAGAGAGAGAGAGAGAGAGAGATTGCAAAGAGCAAGAGATGAGGAAGGAGCAGGGGGAAGTAAGAAGAACAGAGAGATATGCCATGTACAGGAACGTGCTAAACCCAATTAATGTAAACATTATAATGTAAGCATTGAGCTAAGGCAACCGATATCAGCACAAATACTGGGATGGGGAACTGGAGGAGGAGGGAGGAGAGGGAGGGAAGGGGAAGGGGATTGGACAACAGGAAAGACACATGCTGTAAGATGCACATGCAGCCTGGCCCGCGCATCTCCATCCCTTCCTCCCACACCCAGGCTTATGCACAGAGCAGCCGCCAACCGCACCTGGGTTGCTGTGCGGACCCACCCAGGGTGAGGGGCTGGACATGGGGGTGAGGACACAGGGCACCTGGAGAGGAACCTTGGCCTGGTGACGGGGCTTGGGTGCATGGCTTGTAAGACTCAGGGGCCAGGGCTCACAGAGAAGCCAGAGGATGAGGAGTAGAGCAGGCTCTCCACTAGGATGTGTGCACAGGCTCAGGCGGGGTGCCAGAGCAGCTCCTTGCTGTCCCCGGATCTCCTCCTCCTCTCCTTCCTGATCTTCCTGTCAAACAGCTCTTTCTCTCGAGGGTGCACCAGGGGCCCACGCAGAAACTTTTCCTGTGCGCCGTGGTAGTCCAGCCCCTCCAGGGTGGCGATGGAGCAGATCACAGCCTCTGGTAGCAGCACCTCCATCACCAGCCTCACCTTGTCCACTGCACGCAGAGCCAGCATGGGCTCCTCAGTGCGCTCACAGAGGCGCTGTAGGTGTCGGGCCACGAGGAGCAGCTGGTCGTCGTCCTCCAGGTAGGTCTCCACGCAGACGAGGTACCTGCGCTCTTGCAAGAAGGCCTCCAGCCAGCGAGATGGCTTCCTGCCCTGCACGATGTCCAGCAAGTGGCAGTCGGTGCCCTTGGTCTTCACGATGAAATCCACTATCTTCTGGTTGGTGCGGTCCCTCACGGCCCGTGTTCCAAGAAAAGAACGGTCATGCTGCTGTGGCCCTGATCAGGCTCGACCGGAAGTCAGCTATGCTTTGGTCTCCAGGGAAATCCCAGGCACCAAAGGCTCCTTGAACATGGACTTTGTGCCCTAGAGGTCGGATGAGGAGTTTCTAGGTCCAGAGTTCCACTTGCTAGAGCAACAGGGGCAGATGGCCAGTGTGGCCGGTACTCTGCATATGAATCAGCCAGGGCTGTGCTGGCTCTGATCCGTGAGTCAGGTGATCCACTTTGCCTGAGAAGGTGAGGGATAGTGCCTGGGTGTTTGTTCCCGGAGGGAGCTGCCAGCCCTGGAGAAGGGTCCTTGGAGGCCTGGTTAGACCACACCACTGATGTGCTGCCTGTGTGGCAGGAAGTCTCGGAAAGGGAGAGCAAGAGGAAGCTGATGGAAGGCTTGAGTGGGGCTCCCCAGCGGCTGTTGCACGGGCTCCTGGCCGAGAATCCCCCAGGACTGCCCCATAGCCCTGATCTGGGTGTTTGGAGACAAAGGGCCCAGGCCACGCCATCTGACCCAAGTGTTTCACTGCTCAGTAGCAGTCAGGTGAGTGTCTCTCAGCCTCCGTGTTGCGCCTGGAAGTCATGCTGCAGACAAAGCTGTCCCTGAAGAGCCCTGGCCCTGGCCTCTGCAGACCACATGCGCCGGAGGCAGGTGCTCACCAGGACCAAGCTGGCTGCGCCTGTGCATGCAGCTCTGAGGAGACTGGGAGTAGTTAGCAGGCCTAGGACATTGCTAGAGATTCTGGGGCTCCCTTGGGAGTCTGAGGCATGGGAGGCCATTCTGGCCCGGAGCAGGAGAGCCCTGGTGAAGGACAGAGATGGCGCCCAAGCTGAATGTGAAGCCAGGGGTAAGGCGGAGGAAGAGAAGGTGGAAGAGGGAGAAGAGAGGGAAGAGCAGGAATGCAGCTGGTGACAGGCACCAGGCTGGTATGGGCTTTGGTGGCTCTCCCTTCCCATCAACCGTCATTGCCCAAGGTCCTCCCACAAGTGCCAGAGCTCAGCTCCTTTAGGCCCCTTGAAGCCCCCTGGGGTCTCACCTGTCCTAGACCATGCAGGTGGGCATTCCGCTCCTGGCTCCCAGCACTGGGCTATTCAGACACTGCTGCCACCAGCACTTCACATGCCTGTCTGTCTGGCCTGCGCGTGGTGACATAGCCTCCAGTGTGTACCCCAAGAAGCTGCTCAGCAAGGACGCAGGCTGTGCCTTTTGCAGCCATGACCAGCAGGGCTGTAGATGGCATCCAGGAGAGGCCAGCTCCCCTGCCACCCCCAACAAACAGACACCAGTCCCCTCAGGGATATGGGGGAGAGTGGGGCTCTGGCCTCAGAGCAGCCCCATAGGTCATGACACCGGGGCCTTTCTCAGAAAGAGGGTGCAGCCTGTGCAGCTGGGCACCTGAGGAACTAGGTAGAGTCCCCTTGGCCACGCATCTTCATCCCTTGCTTCTGCACGGACACAGCCTCCAGCTGCACCTGTCTTTCTCTTGAGGATCCGCCCAGGGCAAGGGGCTGGACATGGGACAAGGACACAGGGCACCTGGAGAGGAACCTTGTGAGCCTGGTGAAGGGGCTGGGGTGGCACGGCTTGTAGGATTCAGGGGCCAGGGCTCACAGAGAAGCCAGAGGATGAGCTCGGGGAGGGGGGAAGGGGTGGAGTTGGGAGTGGGGACCGGGTCCCCATAGAGCAGCAAGGTCCTCTGTTCATATGGTGGAGGAGCAGGACCATGAGCGTGTGGCATCCAGGGTCCGGGCAGGGGTCCCGGGAGCCTCTCTGTGTGGGGCAGAGCCAGGGAGGGGGTGCATGCAGGGCGGGGAAGTTCCTTCCCACAGCCATTCCTGCAAGTGGACCTCATGGATGGGAATGCAAGTGGGTGTAGGATGGGAGGGCAATTTGCACTGAGCCTTCCAAGTGATGAGAGCAGCTGCCATCCCTGACCAGGGCTCCTTCTGGAGGGCACCCGTATATTTTGGGTGCTCCCCTTTGCTGGGTACAACCCCGAGTACAATACACACACACGTGAGGGAGGGGTGCAGAGCTTTTATTGTGAACACAGCCTCTCTGGGCACGGACTGAGGAGGGGAGCTGGCTGCCCACTAGGGTGTGGATGCAGACTTAGGAGGGGTGCAGAGTGGCTCCTTGCTGGCCCTGGATCTCTTCCTCTTCCTGCTGATGTTCCTGTCTAACAGCTCTTTCTCGAGAGGGCACAAATAGGGGCCATGCAGAAACCTTTCCTCAGCGCCCTGATAGTCGAGGCCCTCCAGGGTGGCGATGGAGCAGATCACAGCCTCTGGTAGCAGCACCTCCATCACCAGCTTCACCTTGTCAACTGCACGCAGAGCCAGTATGGGCTCCGCCGTGCTCTCATAGAGGTGCTGCAGGTGTTGGGCCATGAGGCGTAGCTGGTCATTGTCTTCCATGTAGGTCTCCATGCAGACCTGGTGCCTGTGTTTTTCCAAGAAGGCCTCCAACCAGCAGGATGGCTTCCTGCCCTGCATGATGTCCAGCAGGTGGCTGTCAGTGCCCTTGGTCTTCACGATGAAATCTACTATCTTCTGGTTGACATGGTCATCACCAGCCTGAGTGGCTGGCGTGCCCTCGGGCAGCATCCAGTTGTAGGGCCCCTCTGCATCTGGAGACAGGTAGATGCACAGCCAGGCCCTGTCGTCCTCTAAGTCCTCCAGCTTGTTGTGATTGACCTAAGGGAGCAGGAGGCAGCCTTTGGTGATTAGTTGTGCCATGAGTAAAGGGACGTCCTTAATTAAGGGAGGAGTGAACAGCGTTGTGACACTGAGGGGTCAAAGCAGAAACAGTTTGGGATCTCAGCTACACACACGCAGGTGACAGCTCCGCACACAACAGGTGTGTCTTCAGGACAAGATGGGGCTGGGGACACAATGGCTAACGGTGTCTTCCACCAGCCCTTCATGAAGAGACACCAGTGTCTCTCACACCCAGAAGAACGGGACCCCTCCACGCCTGACACAGACCACACGTGTGAGCACACACACATACACACACACACACAGGGACGGTAGCCACCTACTTGTCCCGATATGATACTGCTACAGTTACTCTTTGCTTCACGTCTGTCACTATCTCTGGGAAGTGTGCCTGCCTCACGAAGGCAGGAGTGGTTTGTTGTGGTTGTCACAGAGACTGGAATGTCCGTGCTGCCCATGTTCTCTGGGAACCAGGAAGCTCTGATGCACACTGACAGGCGTGTGCTGCTCTCCTCCTCCGTCAGCTGCACAGTGCCCACTCCAGGGGAGGGAAGGACGGGACGCTCCGCTGCCCCATCTCCCGGAATGGGATTGTGGGGGTGGGTGTCAGGGATGGAATGTAAGAGGACAGCATGCTCTGCTCCCCCATTTGCCGGTATGGGGAAGCCTCCCAGGGCAAGATTACCCTGGCTGAGGCCAGTGTGAAATGCTAGTTCCGTTTTGACCTGTACAGGAATCTGCATATAAAAAAGGGCTTGCCGCACTCCATTGACTTGTCCACTCTATGAAGTTTTACCTGTTCCTTATTTTTCAAAATGGCACCCATTACCTTACCCCATGCTTCTCATTGACTACTAAAAGTAGGTCAATCAGTGGATTGTTCAGCCTATATACTACGCGCAGCTCCTGTCAGACCACAATGTTGTTAATAACACAAAGCTATGCAGATATTGGCATACAAAGAACAACAGTTAAAGCAACCAATATGCCATCCTGGCAATAGCAACAAAATCAGAACAATAGTAGAGTTAAATACAATCTAGAAATTGATATAGCATCAGAACTGATAATGTACTACCTGTAAGCATAGAGAATAATGATATAAACATAAATTAAAACCAAATACTGACACAGTAAGTATCTACTAAATGTACCAACTGTACCTCCATTAACAATAGAAAAGAGTTCAACCATAAATAGGAAAGTGTTAACTAAATAACTAATGATTTATTGAACTTAATGATTCATAAAGTAGAGGGGTGGGAAATGAGAGCATGAATGTAAAATTTTCAAATAAATAAAGAGGGGAGAAATTAATAAAATATTGTGTTAAGGAATAAAAGTAAATTATTTAAGTTAAATTAACAGAAAAGAACAAACTAGAAATAGAAGACAAAACAGCAAAATAGACACAAAAGATGAGGAAGATGGGGGACATATTGTAGCTGTCGATTTAATCCAAATGGATTACTGGAGGGTAAGCTTGCTTGTTGGATCGGGCAGTCAATTCCACCTCATCTTTCCACCAAGTTTTAAATTGAAGGAATTCAGCAGAACCATGAATCATTCATCTGATCATTTCCCAATCCCAGGGGACTGAAACGTTCAGATTGAGCCAATCCTGAAAGCAACTCAAAAGTATAAGTTTGGTTCACTCCATAAGATACACAAGCTTATTTAATTTCTGAATTGTTTTAAAAGGCAATAGATTATGTTCAAATCTAGTGTAACCTTGGGGATTTTGCTGATCTCTTGTCACTTGGATGATAGTGACTGGATACATAGCAAAATCCTGACAAGCATCTAAATTACCTCCGTTTTGCTTGAACAAAAAGGTTCATTACTGCAGTCACTGGCAAATGGTGTTTTAATTGCCATTTGAGGTGGATCTAGAAAGGGGTTAGATTTATCCTATATTGAAACTGATGGTGTTACAGGATAGGCTTGAGACCCTAAAGGTGGAAAAGGAGGAAGGTCAAATTCTACTGGCATATCAGTAGGCCATGGGTTTCAGTGTAGCAGAAAGATTTTCAAAAGATCCATACCTCCCTTCATCCTCTGTAATTGGTCCCTGATCATGAATCAATAAAGTCTCCTCAGATAAACTACCATCCAATTCAGACTCAAAACTGTCTCTGCCCTTAGCATTTCTCTCATTGGGCAAAATCTCCTGTTCCGATTCAGATTGCATAGGTTCTAAAGCCAAATTATTAAATTACACAAAGACTAAACATGTAAAGGAATAGAGTTCACTTGTAGACAAGCACATTTTAAAGCTTTTCTAACCAATCTCCATTGCTTTAAATTTGAAACATTATATCCCCTGTTTTTAAACCAATAGCAATGTTTTCTTATCAAGCTGAAGAGTTCAGTAAAAGACTGTGGTTGCACTTTAACCCCCAAACTCTTCAACAAACTTTTAAAATTCATTGTATTTTAAGAGGAATAAAACAATATAGAATAAGGACAAGCAAAGGAAAAGAATGGAAGTGATACAGGACTTCAAAATGAGATGACAGGAAATCAACAATGACTAACATAATGCCTTTTGTTATCTTCAAAATAGCTACCAATAACATGATATAATAAAAATCAAACAAAATGGAACAGAATAAAACCAATGAAGACAAAAAATGAAAGTGATACAGAACTGCAAAACAAGATAATAGGAAATCAACAATGGCTACCATGTTATATCTTGTTATCTTCAAAATAACTGCCCATACTACAAGATATACTAGACTCAAAACAAAACAAAACAATAAAACCAAACCAAACAAAATAATGAAAATTATACAGGACTTAAAAACAAGTTAATAGGAAATTAACATTGGCACCACCTTCCCTTTTTAGTCATTTCCTTTTTTTTCACTTTCACAATATCTATTATACATTTTGGATCCCACCAACTCCTTCAGTTTCTATACTAGGGAGACAACATGATGGTCACCTATGTGAGTTTGAACTATTTCATCCACAAACATGATCTCAAGTTGCATCCATTTACCTATGAAAGCCTCAAGGTTGTCCTTCTTTATATCTGAGTAGTTCCATTGTACAAAAATACCTATATCTCTTTTATCCATTCTGGTTAATGGGAAAGCTACCCCTGGTTTTTGCTGGGCCCTCATTACATTGAGCATTTTATTACCTCAGACCTTTAGTCTATTAATTTTCTTTTGAGTCAAATGTGTTTCTTGTATACCACATATTTTTGGATGTTATTTTTTGACTCACTCTCTCTGTGTTCCCTTTTATTGGTGAACTGAGGCCATCTACATTAATGGTTATGACTGACATGCAATAGCTCATCTCTGCCATGGTATCCTCCTGCTGCTGGCCTCCCACTTTTCTCCTTCATTTAATTGCCTACCCTGCTCAAGGATCCCCATCTGGAACCATGGTCATTTTTATCTCTCTCTAGAATTAGCACCCTTGAGGTTTGGCTTGGTGGTCATGAATTCCTTCAGTTGTTCTTTATCATGGAAGTATCTTATTTTTCCATCAATTTTGAAATATAGTTTTACAGGGTACATCAATTTAGATTGGAAGTTGTTTTCTTTAAGGATTTGAAGCACTTCACTTTGAGCTCTTCTTTAAAGGTAGAGCTGAGGAGATATCGATTGCTTAAAAGGAACAAGAGAATACAAAAGATGACCTGAGGACATCACAAGAAGTAGCAAGTCTTTACACTTTGAGCCTCAAAACTGAAAAAGTGAAAGACTTTGCTTTCAGGAGAAAGCAATAGAGTACCATGTTCCAGAATGGCAGATTGCTTCAAATGTTCCACATGGAACTATAGGACTTAATGTTTGTCCTACCCTACTTGATTTTGGACTTGCTTTGGTCCCATTCCTTTGTATTCCTCTATTTGTACCTTTTGGAATGCTAATGTTTATGTCATTGTATTTTGAAAGTGTTTAATTTTATTTTCATTTCTACAGGAGTTCAGAGTTAAGAGTTTGCCTTATATCTTGGAGGAGACTTGCAACTTGGACTTTTCAGCAATGCTGAAATTGTTGGGAATTTGGCATCTCATGGAAGTGGGCTAAAATGATTTTTCTTAAAAGGATGTGCATGAGTCTTTGGAGAGTAAGGTGGGAATATTATGGTTTATGTCTAGATGTCCCCCCAAAGCCTCATGCTGTCATGGAGGTGGCTGAATCTAGAGCTTTTTGTTGATTCATTGTCTATTTCTGGGATTGTTGATGTCAGTGCTACACTCACCCTAGGGTGGGTAACCTACATACAATGTAAGAGGCAGAAGAGTTTTCTTGCATGCTTCTCCCTTTTTGGATCTTGTTGCTTTTGCTGTCTTCTACCATCATGAACTGTTCCTCCTCTGCCATGCCACCCTGCCTTACAGCCAGCTGAATATGGAGTGAAACCTCCATAAACTGTGAGCTAAATAAAGCCTTCCTTCCTTAATTCTGGGTGTTGGGTATTTTGTCTCAGCAATGAGAAAAAAAGTAACCAACCCATCTCCATTTTTCCTTCTTTAAAATTTTGATCCTTTGCACTGTGCTACATCTCCAGCTCTTTTTAATTTAATTTTTTTTTGATTTTTTGAGACAGGGTCTCACTATGCAGTCCAAGCTGACCTTGAATTTACTATGTAACCGAGGCTGGCCCTAAGCTTACTATGTAACCCAGGTCATATCAATGTGTCCAATTTTATAAAACAAGTAGTACTCAACATAAAGTGACACATAGACCACAATTCAATGACAGAAGGTGACTTCAATACACCAATCCCATCAATAGATAGACCATCCAAACAAAAAACAATCAATAAACAGTCACTGTTGAACTACATCATAGGGCAAATGAGCATAACAGATATTTGCAGAGCATTCTGTTCAACAACTACAGAATACATCTTTTTAAAAACTCATGGGGCATTCTTCAAAGTGGATCATATGTTATTCAGTGAAGCAAGTCTTACTGAATACAAAAAATTGAAATAACTTCTTGCATCTAATCAGATTATAATGAAATGAAACTTGAAATCAACAGCAAGAGAGACTGAAAAACTATGCTTGCAAATTGAACAAGTCACTTTAAAAAATTAAGTATATTGGTAAAATTTATATATACAGAATGTTCACATTCATCATAAGGAATTTTATACTTGTACAGGATGTAACTTGATTCTTCTTTCTTCCTATTTCTCTCCCTTCCTTCAATCTATCTTACCCTCTTATTTGCAAAGTTTTGTTTCCATTTTATTTTTTTCCTGATTTTTTTCTTTTCCATTCCTTCTTTCTCCTTTCCTCCTCCTCAGTACCCTTTTCCTTTCAAAAAATTTCTTCCTACTTCACAATATCTATTATGTATTTTGGTCCTTATTTACACTTTCAGTTTCTCAAATCGGGGAAACAGTGGTATTTACACATGTGAGTCTGATTTATTTCACTTAAGAGTATGATCTTAAAGTGCATTAATTTAGATATAAATG